CTCGTCGCTCTACCAACCCCTATGCGTACGTCTCATTTAATGGTTTTATTCCACGCATTTTTTCTTACGGTTTTACTATGACATTTTTTTCAGTTCGGTCGCGCAGCAAAATCCCTATCCCCTCCAAGCCTGCCGTAAGGAACTTCGTCGCGCCTGCGCACGTCTCTTTTAACGGTTTTATTCCACGCATTTTTTCTTACGGTTTTACTATCACATTTTTTTCAGTTCGGTCGCGCAGCAAAATCCCTATCCCCTCCAAGCCTGCCGTAAGGAACTTTCGTTCCAAAAAAGTTTTAGTACCTAGTTTTGTTTCTCAATGCAAGGTTTAATAGGTGTTATTTCGTCATCTTCTATTACAACGTTATTATCGCAGCAGTGTGTAACATCGTGACCGTTCTCACAATAATTCACTTAAAACAGATATCACAATAACGCATCCAATATTTTCGAACGATAAAAACGCGCCTGTGGGGGGATCTCAGGCGCAATAACTCTAAAAACGCGTTACGAAGTAAAGCAATGCCCTCTAACATTGGCACCGTGATATGATATATAACTCGTTTTTATCACGCTCTATTGCCAAATTACTAGGGACTTTGACAGTAAGACGCGATATAAAGCGTGATATAATGTAAATTGTGGTGGTCATGCTACAGGGACATAAACCATCTTATTAAGAATTTTCAATAGAAAAATATGGATCCTGCGTTCCTTCCTAAGTTGACTTTCAGATAACATGACAGAAACATTTCGACTCTTAAAGAGTTGGCCTTAACATTAACTAGTGAAGGAATTATATTCCCTATTTGTAGTTAGGCGTTGCGGGTCGTTTTCTTATTGAGTTCTGCGGCATTTCGAGTTTGCCAAACGTTAATGTATGCTTGCGGTCGTGGACGCATAAGTGTTTCTTAGTAATGTCGTGTCCTGGGCCCACAAAGGTGTGAATAATACTTATATACGACGACCTCCGTGGCCGAGTGTTTTTACGCCGGGCTTCATGGTGTCGCTGACTCGAGAGGTCCCGGGTTCGAATCCTGGTGGGGGCACCTTTAGGAATTAAGAATTATTACACGACAAAAATAGGATTTTTTTAAATAAGAAAAACCGATTTCTCTAAAGTTTTCGTTTTTATATAATATACATATATTTATTTGGTATTATGCAATGTTTTTAGAACAAAAATACTGCTCTTCTTTCTCTCAGTATTTTTTTTCCTAATAATTAAGAGAAATATTAATTCAAGACTTACTTTAGTATAATATAAAAATAAACCCAAAGTGATAATTAAAGCTTTTGCCTCCCTGTATCTATTTATGTTGAAAAATTTGAGCACTTTGGTCCATAATTGACATCAGGGGCGACGATTAAAAGATGATGACTCCAGAAAAGTAAAAAAAATGGTTAGGAAATTTGGTTCCTTGAATAAACTTCAGGGATAGTTAGAGAAATCCCTCTTGATCATTTCAAAGTACGCGTACTTTGGCTAGAAATGATACGCCCCGTATAGAGCTACTAGGACGGTAAAAACCAGCTTTTTCGCGTTTAACTCAACCAATTGAGACGTAGGTACTTTGGCTATAAATAATCGTGAGGGATTTCTCTATTTTTTTTTTTATGGTCACTCCTGGTTATCTCCATAGATATATAACTATGATGTTAGTGACCATGAAAGTTTGAACAATATATATCCATAGAACCATTTTTTCGATATTATACCTTGAATTAAAAATATTTCTCTTAATTATTAAGAAAACAAAAGTGAGGGAAAGATGAGCAGTATTTTTGTTCTAAAAATATTGCATATGACCTAAAATTTAATGTATACTATACAGGGGTGTCCCACGGGTTTGTCACACAACTGGGAATGAAACTCGTGAAATTCGAATAAAAAACACAGTAAGTATTTTATGATAACCATCGAAAGGGTTTAGCATATGGATTATTTTTTCCTAAATAACATAGGACTTTAAATGAATGGAAGATTTCGACCCCCCCCCCCCCCCTTTCGAAGGTTATCATAAAATAAAAGTGTTTTGTTATTTCACATTCCACGAGTAAGTTTTTTTGATTTGGCTGGCCATTTTATTTAAAACTATGAATATAGTTCTTTTTATTATAAAAAATAAAATGATGTCTTCTTTCAGTAAAATGTCCTATCTTCAAAATTTAATATACATTCCCTCCGTGACAAACCAGTGGGACGCCCTGAATATTAACGAAATATTCTGAGAAATAGGTTTTTCTTATTTAAAGAAATCCTTTTATTTGCCGTGTAATAATTCTTAAAGGTGATTATGTCTTCTAGATAAGTACACAAGAGGACAAAATTAATAACAGCATAGACCAATCTTTTGTCCTGCAATAGCTAAATTTTTTTTATAAGATTAAAAAATACTAATGATTCATAGTTAAAAAAAATATACAAAAATTAAAAACTGTAATTGGGTACTTTTGGACACCATGTATTTGGTCAGAATTAAATTTTGAGCATGGTGCTTTGAGGAATCAGCCATAATCAAAATTAAATTCTGACCTCATATTCGGATTCAGCACTCTCGAAAACATAAATATCAGTCATCAAATACTGCTCTAAAAATTTGACCCCAAAACAAAAACAGGATGACTGGACTATTATTTAGAAATTAACATTATAAGTATCTACTTACACATTTTGCACTATTTTATTATTTTCAACCTTTTAATATTCCTACTGCAAGGGCACAGGCCTATGGATAAGATAGGAAAATTGAGCCATTGACCCACCACGCGGGCTCTCTGTGGATTAGTTGGATATTTTGGATCATTATGTCTTAATTTGAATATAAAAAATAGACTATTTCTATGGAAATAATCACATAGGCTCTGGTACAGATGTAGCCGTGACCAAAAGCTTAATAATGTTCTTTTTGAAGCACAGAAGAGCTCAATGTAATATATTTTTGATTGCTGATCAATAATGCTATTGAAAAACAACCAAATACATTTTAGAGTGCTCCATGTGGCATTTAGCACGTTTTGGGTGTAAGCATGCGCAGAATCCTATAGTTGGAGTGCTTGATGTTCTCATGGGATAATAAAGGAGATTGCTCAAATTGGCCCAAATGCTCAAAAAATATTGACATACACGGCAATTCTTGGCGTAATTTATAATTTAATTTACAGTCATTAGATTTCAACGGACATCTTTGTATAATATATTTACTTTTAAAAAGGACTTTTAATTTTACAGGTTTGGAAAACATACGAATCATTTTTAATGGCTATGGGTGTAGTAACATTCAGCCAAAGACTGATCGAAGTTGTTTATGGTTGCTTTCCAATTACAGCATTATAGCGCATTATGCGGCATAATGCTTAACGTTGAGTGTTCCAACTACAGCAACGCTTCGCACAATTGAGCACTCTCAAAAATGATGCTTTCGTGTGATGCGTGCAATGGTACCAACTTAGAGACAGAAAATTAACAAGTGTTTTTTCTTTAAGTTCGCATTGATCGAAATGTTTTATTTATATGTTATCGTTAGTAATTCATTCTGTTCATTCAAACTGTTAAAAAATAAATATAAGTATGGATGAAGGTACAAACATTGACTTTTTTTTTTCAACACTGAGCTTAGCGCACTCTGCTGGTGTATTTGAAAACTAATTCACGTTCCAATTAAGCATCAGCATAATTGGGCATCGTGCGGCACTGAGTCGCATTATGCTCTGTAATTGGAAAGCATACACTATAACATAAAAACAAATCTATTTTGAAAGATCGATAAAATAAATCATTTTTTTTATTACACTGTGGTATTAATATCCACAACTATATTATCATTTTCACTAGATGCAAATGTGCTCAGACAATTATTATAGATGGTAGGCGACATCATAAAGTCTATTGCCATTTTTCGCCAAACACCTCCATAAACGCATTATAATCTGTACATATGTTAGACTTTAAGGTATTTATCTATGGGCCTACGTTCCCTGACTATAAATTAATAAATAAATAAAATTATAAGGTGTGATACACTAAAAATCTAAAATATGGTTATCTTAAAAACATTACAAAAATAATGAAGCTACTGAATATATGGCTATAGAACCTAAATCTCTTAGCTTTCTTTGGTTAACGAAAGTTTAAAAATTCTCTCTAATCTGTGGCTCATTCACAATCATCACACAGTTTCTGTCACAGAGTACCTACCTTATTATAACCGGAAATGACACCTGATTTTAAAAGTTACTCTTATGCATTAACTTTAAAAACAGGCAACTATCTGTTAATCTACATGCTCTATATACCTGAATCTAATCCATAATTTCGTTACTTGGCTTGATTTCCCTAGTTTACTCTATAACTTATTTGTTTTTTATTATTTTAATATGTTCAGTGTATATGGTTTATAGAAGTTCTCAGGGGTGACCGTCAATAATATTCGTTTCTACAGTAATTTATTTATAATTTCCAATCTAGGAAACAATTTTTCATGATTATTGGTCTTTAGGCCAAACATGTACGGAAGCTGAGCACTCTCCTTTGTTCTCCAAAGTTTTCGAAAATTAGGGAATAACTAAAGTGCGTAATATTAAAATCTTATTGTAATTAACAATCGTCAATATTTCCCGAACAGACCCAGCCAATGCTAAAATACGGTGTTATGGTGGAAGCAATGTCAAGTTTAGGCTTACTGATAAAGATAAATATTTTTCATGCTCTATCTACACATAAGAAGCAAAATACTATGTTGTGTTCGTACTAAATTGCTTTATATTACCTACATGAAATCATTTTTACGACTCTGTATCAACTAAATTCTAACAATTCGCACTGCTTTAGAGTATGTCCTTGTTAATTTTGTACAACATTGATATACTTACGTATTCATGTATATTTAAAAAAGGTTTCCTTTCTTGATGACAAATTTTTTCATCGAAATTTACTTTCCACAAAACATACAGAAGTCCAAGTGCCATCCAAATATTTAACCCGATAAGGTAGAAACACAAAATGAGTGTCACGAAAACATGTTTATTTATCTTACAAAATGTACATTAAAATTATAACCATCAGTGTTTTCGATGGTGCTTATTTGCATTCCTCTTTATAAACCTAATTCGTTCATTTCGAATCGTGACTCATCGTTGGCCAACGATGGGTAAAATAAATGCTATTTATGCTTCGGTCGTGCTGCATCGGTAGTGTTTTATAGACGTAAGTTTTCTGCTAACGTAATCAAAATATAAATAGAAGAATTTGATAAAATTCCCTTTGGCATTGACTTTAGAGTCAGGGTCGGACTGGGTCTTATAGAGCTAAATCAAGTTAGTCTCTATTAGTAACTAAGTCTCGGGGCCTCAATCCAATTGTGTATTTTTATGCTAGTATGCAATATTTTACTTAATCAAAACGATAGTCATTTGTCATATCACTGCACCACAGGTCGCTTGACCGCGGCGAGGGACCCACATTAATTTATTAGTTTGAAGATTTACAGACAAATAACAACAACTACTGAGTAAATTGAGTTAGCCACGATCATCTTTGATCTTTAATCAGAACTAAATTTTCTGTCAATGTCAATAGCTTAGACTCGTTAGCAGAGACTTAAGGAGTTATTTTAGGGGGATGTTACGATTGGGACTGTTTGTTCTTTAGGGGGCTCGGCTTTCGGTGGTTCGGGCTGCTTAGCTGGACCAGTCTTAGTGATTGGTACGATCCTCTCCCCTGACTGTGGAGGCGGACGCCTGGGAGCTGTGACTGTCAGAACTCCGTCTGAAGACAAGGTGCTGACTAAATCGGCGACATCGTACCCAGTGGGTAGGATGTACCTCCTTGTGAACTGGCGGGAGATGTAACCGTGCTCGTCCTGCTTCTCTTCGTGCTTGCCTTCGACTAAGACGCAGTTGTTGGATGCCTTAACTGTGATCTCCTCGGGGGAGAACTGTTGTACGTCTAGGATAACCTGGAATTTGAGAAAACAATTTCTTAGTAAATACACTTGAATACAGACTTTTGAAATGCGACGCCACCCGACGCCACAGGACGCGTGTTGAGTCAAATATTTAGATATGCTCTCAGGTTAAATCAAAAAATCAGAATTAAATTAGGAACATCAGACGCGACACGATGCGCACACCCAGTACATATAAAATACGCGTGGCGTCGTGTTTCATAATTCTGTTTCGGAGTTAGTTGCAATGCACTATATAACATTTTAAAAGAATTTAAAACAGTTAGTTATGTATAGTTTTTTGCGAATATTCGATATCAGCATTCTTGCGAATGAGAGATTTTGGCACAGCAAGTGCCATCATCATACTCATATGGCACTTTCGTATCCATACCTATGTACTGGCCCAGCAGCCTCGACGGCCTCTCCAAGTCATCCCACTAATCGCGGGATCACCTAATCAAAACCTATTAGAGTCTCTTAATCAAAACCCACCTCAAACTTCTCCTTGGTAAGGTTGATAGTTGAAGATGACTCTTGTCTCGCCAGGCTTGTTCGCCAGGGCCTAAAGTAGGAGTTTCTGAACAGGGAGCTGGAGGGCAGGGTCGACAGGGATGACAGCAGGTCGTCCCGGCGCAGGCCCATGCCGAAGTGCTGGTCCAGCAGCCTCGACGGCCTCTCGAAGTCATCCCACCAATCGCGGAACATCATGGGGACTATCGACATCTGGAATGCATGGAAAAATCAATTAGGTAAAATGGTAATTTAATGATCAGTTCAAGACAACTCAAAGTTGTCAAAAAAAATACTTTTAGATATATTAAATAGATATATCAAGTATTCATTAATATTTAGGGAATTCAAATCGACAGTGGAAAAATAAAATCACCAAACCCCCACCTATCAAACTTATTTTAAAAAACTGAATTTTTAAGGCCCGTATAAATTCAGGCAACAGCATTCCCGGCTCACAACTCTGAGAGATAATATAATCGAACGAAAATTAATATCCTTCTATAGCATTCGCAATGTAACTTAGTGCCTTTAAGAATTAGACGTCCAACGTATAAATGTCTCAGTCTGTCATAAATTTCTAGTTATCAAAAATTATAATCATACGTCAAATATTCATACGTAATAGTATAGGTACATTTATTACCTAGATCATGAGGATGCCTACTTTCTGCAGGCACAGAATACAAATATTTAACAAATAGTATAGTATAATACAAGTGCTTTAAACAAAATCTATAGTGTCTTATTTACGTGCCCAGAGTCAATTATGAAGCTACTCCAACTCATTACACCTCGCTCACCTCTAATAAAGGCACTTGCCTATATTATGGATGTATAGGGGATAAAACATTTATCAAAGAAGAAAAACTGCTTCATCGTTGTGAGTATATAAACAGATTATTAAAAGTCTGATTTAATTTATATATTCCTTTCTATCATAACTCGCATTGGATAAGTGTCAACTTTTTACATAAAATCAATCTTTACTACATACCTATCGAAATAAAATACAATCAGTGGTATACAACTGATTACTGGAAAACAACTAGCGTCTTGTAAACTATTTATATCTGAACTGATGACAGAAAAAATAAATTCTCTACATTGTTTTAAACTTTCATGGTCACTTATATTGTAGTTATTAACGGGCTTGCTACCATATGCCTTGTTTTTGTGAGTCTCCGATATTTCGGCACTATTGCAAGTGCACTCCGTGATCATGGCGCTTGGGAACAGTGCCGGTCCCCACGACAACGGCTGACTAGAGCCGAGGTCCGAGTCTCAGAAACGCCCTCTAGTTGAGCCGACCCCCTCAGGTTCGAGTGGTCTAGAGGCTCCAGACGGAGAGGAGGCTCGCCCCGTGGGGAGACGCCTTCCGCCTGGAATACCTCTAGAGGCACACGCCAATTCTCGGCTTGAGGTCCCCTTAGGATCTCGCCGTCCCCAAACCCGGTGACGCTGTTAAGGTCATCTGCGACCAACAGCATACACAATAAAAAAAAAATTAAAAAAAAGACTGCCGAAATATCGGAAACTCACAAAAAAGAAGGTACAACCCCCAAATAACTATAATAGCTAAATTGTATAAGCAAAAACATTAATAGCGAACAAATTCGACACAGTATAAAATAACAATCTATAGCTTGAATAACTAACATCGACGCTGAAAAGAAAAACATTGGATGGGTCAGGGGCGGACTTTTCCGCACTGATAACAGAAAACTTTTAAACAGGTTAGTTAAGAGTATAATGAGCTGCATCTGTATCTTTTGACTACTAACATCGATGTAGAATAATGATTGCTTAGAAGGGATTAAGCAAAGTAATGGTTCTCATGAAATTGTGTTGAAGCGAAAAATTGAAATGCAAAAAAGATGCTTAAAAGCGCTGTTTCGGTTATAAACGACGGACAGTAAACCTTATTTCTTGAAATATTATATTGTGACACTTCCGCCTTTGTATCTTTTTAAAATCCTCTTATTTGTAAAAGGGAACATGTACCTGTTTGTTAAAATGGCCGATGTAATAATTCGCAACAGACTTGATAACAGTAGACCATGCATGCCAAACTCGCGAATAGCTCTTATAGAAAATAATATTATTCTGTATGGCTTCTCGAATATATAACAGACTCTAAGATTTAAATTAAAATCGATATATTATCATAATGTATCAGAATGTTTAAATGACAAATCTTGAATAGTTTTTTTATTCATCATTATTAATAGTTTTTGCCCAATTTATTAACATTTGATTATAATCAACAATGATTGTATTGAAGGTATATGACAGAGGACATATTAAATAAAGCATTTGCCCAATTTATTGACATTTTATTATAATCAATAATGATTGTAATGAAGATATATGTTGACTGTACATTTATTTGTTGACTGTACTAATATATATCCTAACTAATATTATAAACGCGAAAGTGTATTTATTTGTTACGCTTTTACGCAAAAACTACTGAACCGATTTGGGTGATACTTGGTACACATATAGTTTATGGTCTGGATAGGGACAAAGGATACTTTTAATCGCGGAAAAATGATAGGTTACTGTGGTATCCTTAAAAAAACTAAATATAACGCGGACGTAGTCGCAGACGGCCGGTAGTAATATTATAAATGTAAATTTTTAGTATGTTTCTTACCCAATCACGCAAAAACGGCTGAACGGATTTGGATGAAAATTGGCACACGAATATTTTATTATCTAGATTGAAACAGGATATTTTTCAGTGTTAAGCTCCTGAAGAATTCTCAAAAAACTAAAGTTTACGCTCAAAAACGTTAAAACCAAATTATCCCGTCGATCGGTGATCGTAATCTATGTTCCCAAATATTGTTCTGGAACGAATCCACGAGTGAATCACCTGGACCGTTTTAGATGTGATGCAATGCAACACTAAAATGAATTCTTCACGCCACTAACGTTAGAGAGACATCCATTATAATATTCTGAACTGCTGCTGTGATAAATTTAGATCTTCACATTTGTTTACTCCGGCTTCATAGTATATTTCCAATAACAAACTCTAAGGTCGCAGTTAGTTCAATATAGATAAACATTTTATAGTGATTTTAGTTATTTTCAGGTATGAATTTAAACGATTATAACTGAACGTTTAAATTCTTTATGAAATATTAATGATCGAATATTTTACATTAACGCATAACTATGTGAGCATGTAAATGCTTTAGGAAAAAGTAATCAACCACTAGAAATAGACTGAAAACATGTTAAACTAATTTTTAAATCACACTCTTCATAGTTTAGTTAAATAAATCAAAAAATATGCAACAACAGTCACAATATAAAAGCGATATTTTTTAGTTAATTAACTATATTAAGAAAAAAAAAACAATATTATAACGGTTTGATTGATTAATTGGTTTGGTTTTTAAGTTTATAGATGTTAAGTAGTTTTAAGGTTTTGTAATGTTAAATATTTCTATGTATATATAAATTAATTAATTACAGTATTCGGTTTGATAACAAACAAGTGGTACCTTTGCAGTTGTATTCGTTGCAGGCGCGCGCACTGCGTTTGTCCACGGACTGACGGACGAGAGAGAAGCGGGTGTTTTAAATAGAAATTAGTCTGCCCACACTGGCTGACTCGAATGAAGCACACCTTGAACTTGTACGTAGTACGGTGGCAAAGCTTTTTGCTGTATATAGGACAGAAGTTGACTCATCTCCCTGCAATCCCGTGCAGGGATGGAGCAGATCAGAATACCAATCATTCTTTTTTTTGATACGTGATGACGTGATCATTTTGTGTGGGCCAACGAAGGAGTGTGAGGCCCCTTAATCTGGGCCACTTATTATTTTCCCCATGGTTTGGTTACCCATCGAAATTTGATTTATTCTTGGGGGGCTATCCCCCACAACAGATATAAACATTCAAATCTCTGGTGGGGGCCTCTTGGCCGCAGCCCTGTCTGTCCTGTCTTAAATCCGGCCCTGGTAGCGGCAAACTTCTTCAGTAAAACCAAATAAACTTGGACCGTTACGGTTCGGCTATCGGTCTCTTGTAGAGAATTACAAAATTACGGATACCTTGTGTCAAACAAAACGTAAATTTGGCTTGTACTGTTAAATTTTATCTTTTCATCGAGTTACAAATTACAACGGTGATAAAGAAGTTTTCAATTAAAAAAAACCTTTTTGGGAGGGTTGGCGTTGGAGGGTAGGTAGGTGATGAAATGTGCATTACCTACAAGAACTTACGCCAAGTAAATGGTCGGAAAAATGCCATTGAATGTAGAGCAGGAGCAGGAACGCTCAGGTTTAAATCCTGTTTAATTCCTGGATCGAGATGGCGTAGCGTTTGACTTTCACATGATCTTGTAACAGCCTAGACTGAATAAATGAGTTTGAATATTGAATTGAATTTGAGTGGAATTTATTATATAAAAAAATGTTTACATTATAATATACCTAGCAGTTTAATGCTCAAAATAGCAATACAACCAAAAAAACACTTCAAATTTGGCAGGACAGTCGTGTTTTTATTGAATTCATTAGCTAATGAAGTCCTATCTTCGTTACCACAAAAAGTTAGCCATGCGATAAACGCAAGTTTAAGAAAAAAATAACATATTAAATTTGCCTAAACGTGGTATAAAACTTTGACTAACTTTTTTGTAGTAAGAACGTATCAGTATCATGTTTATTTAAAACGACAGCTTCTTGAGAGGGAGCGGCTTCATCTTGTTATTATTTTCGCGCCGCGTCATCGGAAAATGGCCACATATTTTCACGGCATCATGGTTATACTACACATTCACAGCAATGATGCGCTGAAAACAATTCGATGATTGTTTACTTATCCATTGAAATCAGGTAGGTGTATTTCGAGAACAATTTCAGAGTAGTTTGTGTTGAGATGACTCGTTACTTGTAAATCTTCATTATATTTTAGGATTGGCAATAAAATACTGAATTATATTTTACCAGTATAAAGATAGCGAACAGTCATCGCCGTGTGATGCTTTAAAACGACATGCCATGATACACGATTACAAGGCCCATATAAGATTTTTTTATATTGTTATAGGTGCACATAGAACATAACATTATTAATTTTACATTTAATTCGGTCTTATTCTAATATAGTTAGTACTTATTGACGCATATAAGAATTTGCTAGCAAACTGGTATCAAAAGGTATTTGCTGTCAGAAGGTACCTGAAGCTATGAAAACGAAGCAACGTTAAAAATATTAATTTGCTTTAATATGCCTTTTTTTAAATAATTATAATAATAAAAGTAAATATCTAATGAAATTACCCATCCCGCGTACACCTCGTCAGAACTCCGAGGTACATATGAAGTTTGACACTTCCATTATGATCTCGATAGCATAGTGGGTGAGATTCGCCCGGATTGGGGAAGATGCTGATTCAAGTACAACCTGACCTTGAACGAGTTGAATTTTTCCTAGTATTTCTTTTTATTTTGATGCTTAGTTCTAACTAAAAGTACGTTGTAAGTATAGATACGACCCTAATGTAAACAAGACTGATGACTGATTGCTATTTAACTATTATTGGAAAGTCCTGTCTACATCAGTCGGACGGACTTTAGAAATACTATAAAGATTTTACTTACTACTTAGTTTTACATTTTGACAAATTCATGCCTTCCGAACGTTACTATTTAGGAACAATAACCCACATCGCTTATGAACTGCACTTACCACTTCATCTAGCGTGCTGGGTGGGAGTGAATGAAAAACATAAAAAGCGTCAGCTGTCAGATTTCCAGGTTTTGTAGTAAAAGCTTATCAACGGACAGGGAGAGAGCGTTGTAGTCGAAGTTACAATCTATAAAAGCAAGATAAAAGCCACTTTTTCCACGCATTTTAGAAGTTGAAGTTGCGGGTTAAGAATGACTATATACCTATGTGATTTTCTACACTGTTTACTTTCAAGCTGCACCTTTTATTTGTTTAATTTATTTATATTTACATATAAATACTTAACATTACAAAAGTTTAAAACTACTTAATGTCTAAAAACTCAAAAACTAGACTAAGTACCTAAATAATATACAATTTAGAAATTAAAAAATATATGACCCCCATCGCCGCTGTCAGGAATGGTTATAATAATTATAATATTTTTTTTTTATAATAATTTTTATTGCTCAACAAAAGTAGGTACATGAAAAGATTGAATACCCTGATTTCTATGCTAGGATAATAACCCTGTGTTACAGAAATCAGTGTCTTCTCCCAAAGGTATTTTAAAAACTACTTAGTTTAATTAAATGTTTCGTGTCCTAAATGTGTGTGTGTGTGTTTTACTACATTTTTACTGGGTATTACGTTAAGAAAATGTTATATAAAATTAATACATATTATACGTTATATAAATACATAAATAATTAAATCAACACATAATTTGCTATTTTAAGATAGATTTTAACATCTTAGTGAAACAGAACCTAAATGTAACGTAATGTAACAGTATTGTTGAAACAGTAAATTGAGACAATACTTTAAAATGTTTACTTAATAAACATCTCAGTTTTAGTATAATCTAATGTTAATAACCATTTTCTAATTTTAGACTTGGCCTCACAAAAACTAAGCGAAAAAATATCTAATTGTTTATTTAATTTATTATAAAGTGTTCCAGCCAGATAACTACTTTGGCGTCTAGCAGTAGCAGTACGGTACCGCACCATCTTGCACACATTAGGTAAAGTTCGTTTACCCAAGTATAAATTTGGATCGTATGGGGTGATCTTGTGTTGTTTGCTGATAAGTTGTAAAATATACTGTTGCCTTACTGTTAGTATATCACACCTGTCATATAATAATTTTGTAGGAAATCTAAAAGGACTAAATGTCATTACTTTAAGAATTGATCTTTGAGCTCTCTCAAGTTCCAGCATGTGAGTCTTACAGGCACCTCCCCATACTCTAATGCTATATCCTAGTATGGACTGCACTAGAGCAAAATAAATTGTACGTAAAAGCTTCAAATCAGCCACATGCCTTAGCGTCTTAAAAGCCCATACAAGTCTCCGAATTCTTGTAGTAATTAATGCTATATGCGGCTGCCAACTTAATTTACTGTCTAATATGACTCCCAGGTATTTGACAGAGGTGGATTTAGCAATAGGAAGACAACTACAGTCGACAGGACCCTGGCAATCACCTGAGTGCACTTTTATATCAATATTTGGTAAATTAGTTTTAGAAAAACTGAATTGCAAATATTTAGATTTTGATATATTAAGTGTAAGTAAATTTGATCGAAGCCAATTACTTACCTTTATGAGCCCCAGTTCGGCATGGTATTTTGCTTCGGCCCAAGTCGTACAGTATGACACTCAGCAATATAGTGGCAGTAAAATATTAAACAGTAAAGTGAGAAGCCCAATTTGCAATTAGAAATCGGTATGTAAATTTTATGCAACATCTGCAAATTTAAAATAAGTTTTATGTTTTGTTTATATAATCTTTGGATTATTATTACTCGATGACAGTTGTAAATAAATATTTTATAATAATGGGTTACAATTACATTATTTTTTACATTAGTGTTAATTTTGATTAGAATTATCCTATATATAATATTTCTATTGTATATAATTTCAAAAAAACAAATGAAGTAAAAAGATTTAATTAGAATAAATAAGGCATGCAATATGATATAGCTTACTAGTCATTTATCCAGTTGGAGTGTGCTTTGTAAGTCTGATTCACATTTTATTTTGAAGTAACGCGATTCATCGTCCCGCCGAACATAAACAAAACCATGAGATGTCCAACAGTATTTCAAACCATGGTCTTTTGCAAAATTTCTCGCTACATAAAACAGGCGCTGGGTAGCAGGTGTTAAACTTTCAGATAAATAAACAGGCTTAGAAGGGCCTTCAACTTTCAGATGACCAGTATTTAACTTGTTTTTAACGTTTTTGTTGTTAAACTGCCGATATTTTTTAATAAATAACTCCTTTGTAGAAACGCTATTAGAGTCTACTATAATAGGCGATGAGCTTTTCTTTTTGTGAATCCGTGTAATATCTTTGATCTCATGGTCCTGTACGGAGACCTCAAATACACTAGCCATCTCCGTTACTAATTTTCGTAGATCTTCTTTATTTTCCTCTTCATTAATAATATTTCTTATTTCTATCTTAGATAAATGTAGGATGCGCTCAAAATTTTCCACCTTCTCCTCCAATCTCGTGATATAGCTATGATCCGCTTTGCGTTCCGCCTCCAAAAAATCAACCCTCAACCTCATATCGTCGTATTCTTTAGAGATAAAACTAATAGACTCTTTTATTTCCAAATTTTGTGCAATTATTTCTGCCATCGAAGACTGTAATGAAGTAAATTTACTATCCCACTTTGCTGACGATGTAGTGATTAGTGCCCGAATTTCCTCCATGAAAGCAGCAGACTCATCTATGCGTTTTCTTTTCAAGCGCAATGCGGTATTATCTTGCTCAACTGATGTTAAATCCGGTGTTGAACCAGATTGCCCAAGCGCGCAAGTACTCACGCTAGTCGCGTCCTTATCACATGCTTCCTCGGTCGGTTTTTAGTTGGTATGGTGTCCAATAGGCTAGCAGCATTTCCTCGTTGGATAGCAAGGCTAATCCCTTGACCAAGGTAGCT